AATTGTTATAATTGTTGTATAATATTGAATAAATCAATATTTTTAATTACTCGTAAAAAAAATTTCTTAAATATTAATCACGAATGATGGCTATAAGCATTGGATTTGTTATGAAAAAAAAAAAATTTAAGATTTATCTTTATTAGATTTTGAATTTATCTTTTGTCATGCCAATAAAATTAATCTCTTTAGACGAATTTGTCCGTCCCTCTGGTGGCAAGAATACGAAGTACAGTCATTTTTAATCGTCTAATATTTAATTCTTACTTTTTATTAACATAATGGATAAAATATAAAAAAATACATTTAACATGGAAATTTCTCTTGAAATTAGTAAAGTAACGACTTGAAATTCAATGACAAAAATTTCTTAGAAAAGAAATAAGAAGAGAGAAAGAGAGAGAAAGAGAACGTATAAAGAATCGTACGATTGGAAAAAAGTAAAAGAATCGAATTCAATTTTGAATTGAATAAGAGTAGGTGTGGCCGTCGATTCGTATTATTTGCGATTATTCCCAATTGGAAAACGGGAAGCGTTGGTGGAAATTAAAAAAAATCGAAGAGTCCACCATTAGAACGCGCGTTAATGAAGTTCGAAATGAATGCGTGCATGATATTGATCATAGGCGGATTAAAAGTGAATAGAGCCCGGCAAATAAATTGCAAATCTGGATCCGAACGGTCTCCACTCAGTACATTAAATCGAGTTATGGGTGTACGACGCGTGCATCCAGACAAAATGGTTAATAAGTTCCGTGTTTGCATCGAACGATGAAATGAGAAAAATAGAATTCGTCCGTCAGTATGGAGCCAAGTTCGTTAAAAGCAATGTCGTGAAATGAATGGAAATTTTGAAAATAATAAATGTTCGTATAACAAATTATAAAAAAAATATTTTACAATTAACGAAAGTATTTTTCTTTTTTAATTTTTTTTTTTTCTCTTTGATTGAAATTTAATTTTTCTTGGTAATAATTATAATTTAGACGATTTGATTGACAATCATACGAAATAGATTAAATTGATAGGTTTCAATTTCATATCTTTTGAAATTTTTTTCTTTTTGACGATTTTATTGGCTATCATGTTGATTAAATTGATAGGTTTCGATTTCATATTTTTTTCTTTTTTAATTTTTTTACAGTTTTTATTTTGGTCTCGTTCAAATATTTTATATATATTATATATATATTTCTATTATTACTTTTCTTAATTTTTTTAAACGCAAATTCATGTAACATATATTTCTTGTTATCTTTATATTAAATTTTGGTTTTATTTAAAAAGAATTATTTAAAAAAAAAATTAATGAAAATAAATTAAAAAAGAACATATACTTCATTCATTTCACGACATATATATATATATATATATATATATATATATATATATAAAGAATGCTTGCTTGAAATTAATTTTTAAAGTAATAATATGAAAAATGAGCACTTTCAGAAGAACTTTAAATTGTTACGATTACGATTGTTTCAACCATAATAGTACATATTAATTCATACATAATAAAAAAGTAATTTTTAACATTAAATTTGAATTAATATAAAATTATTATCAATAATAAGAATAGTGATCGTTTTTATTTAAATATTTTTACAAAAATTAATACGGAGAATGATATGTAACTCGATTAAAACGAGATACAATCAGACAAAAAAAAAATTTACCTCTAATTAAATTTAAAAATTTTTTTTTCCATCAATGTTTCCAATTGCATCAAATTATATTTCAATAATTATCCATTAAAATCAAAGGTAAAATTGTAAATATATTGATTTCGCGTATGATTATACAAATGGTACGCCAGTCTAACATTGTTCGATGCACAAGCTGGTAGAAAATTTGCGCGTTTACAATATCATATAGTCGAGGATATGCATTTTCATTAGCAACAATTTTATCTTCTACTCAACTCGGTATTTTATTTACCGATCAACAATTTCGAGCGGAAACGAACGTTTGCAATTTCTCTCGCACCTTCCTCGTTCCATTTCAGCTCTAAGTTAACAGAATAACCCGGTTGAATAATTGGACGTGAAATTAGCAAGTATATTTATCGAAATGTTTATCGTTCCAATAGGAATCTCGTAATAATGATAACTTTAATAAATCATGATCAAGTGTATACAATAAACAAGATGCAAGATGGAATAAAATCTAACGTTTCCGTGTGTACACAAATAATAATTGCGCAAAGATAGTGGATTAAATTAAAAAGGATTAAAAATAATTATTCGAATGTTTCGATGAACGTTTATATGTAATAATACATGAATTTTAATTTATATGATTGTATTTACTTGTAAATTTATTTGCATTGAAAAGTTAATTTCTTAATATTATTTTTCAAATAATTCATTATCAACCCGATATCAAGTAAAAGTAAACAATTCGATCGAAACTCTCGAAAAATTAAATTCTTCTCAACCCAAAAGGATAACTATCATTACCAGACAATTTGAAATCAAAATTTTTTAAAATTCTTAATAGAATAAACACCCTTAAACCAAAAAAAAACTAATTTGAAAATTAATTTCCAGAGTTTCACATGACGAAGACTTTTGAATTCAATCGTTTTAAATTCAAAAAAAAAAAAACATGATATTTCTCCAAATACAAGGATGCTGTTAAAAATAACAAGGAAATACTACGAACAACTACCCTAATCGATCAACAAATACACTTATTAAGGTCAGCAGATAGAGCATCACCGCGATTGTACCGGGATGGCGTCAAACCCTTTTTGGGTGAACACGCGAAATTGACGAGAAGGAAGTCCTCCCCCGCAGTGACAGTGAGCGCATTAACGAGGAGCATGCACCGAAATCGATTTATCGACGAATTCGAGGCGTGATCGAAAGGAGGGGGGCCGGGCCCGGGCCAGACGCCGTTACCCGGACGTAAAGGCTATTTAAAATTCATGAATTCTGTCATATCTATAACCAATTAGGTCACACACGGTCCGTCCCCAGTTCAGAGAACTTTAATGAAAGCCTTTCAAAATTCACCGAACGTTCCATTCTTTATCGGAGCAATTAGAATCCCCATGCAGCCTGCATAAACTATCGGCGGCCGGCCAACGAAATTACTCGAGTGCCCGCAAACCATATCTGAATACGGTCCATGCGGTCGGATGTTGCACCCTGCCCTCCTCACCTCTGCCTTGTTCATTTTAATTAAAAAAAGGGAAAGAAAATCGTGGGATAAAAGGTTGTGAGGGAGGATAACGCGCATCTAACGTTGGTTATACGTAGAGGAAGTTAACGTTTCTCAGGAAGATTTTAATAAGGTTTGATGAGAAGGTGTATAATGAGAAGGATAAAGGAAGAAGGAAATTTCTTTTGTCGGGGTAATTGATTACGTTTGGCTGGTTATGTTTTTGAAATGTTAACGAGCAGGTTTTTATTTTTTAGAATAGATGGGTGTGGAGAGAGTGTAATAGGTTATATAGTAGGAATTTTTTTTTTTTTTTTGTTTTATCAAAATATTATTTTGAAGAGATGGAATCAATTATTTTGGGATGCTTTTATCTTTGTTCTTTTTTCTCGAGTAAATATAAATTCTTTGAAAGTGATTCGAAATGAAAAGATTCTAATTGTAATTAGATTTTTAAATCTAAATTTATACAATTTTTAATATATCTGTGTTTTGCATTACATCTTAATTATAGCACTATAATTAGCACTATAGCACTTAATTAGCACTATAATTAGTGAGCGATACTAGCGCCACATGATTATTAACTTTTAGTATTCAATATATTTAAATGTTTAGGTATATTAAATTATTTATTACTTTTTTTTATTTCAAATAAAATCGAATTATTATATTTTTCGACAAATATTTAATTTTTAATGCGATTTAATTCGCTTGCAAATTAAAACGTAGCGTCGTAACGTTAAAGAATAATTACTTTACTTGCTTTCTAGTTAATTTTCAACTGATAAAAAAATCTTAATTGAATTAAATTACACGTTAAATTTTCTTATGTTAATTTCAATGCAACCTTCGTTCTTATTTCTCTGATTACATTTCAAGTTATGCAAGCTACTTGTACGTTTTCTGAACAAATCCTAATAATTGCATTCGCGATCTACGACGACTAAAGAACCTGGAAATTCACATTTACAATATGAGGTCAGAACGCCTTGAAAGTGCTCCAATCTTGGAATGAAACTTTATGCCATGTCTGTAATTCAGTGAAAAACTACCAACGTCTAGTTCTTACTAATGAGAACTCCTACGGAGTTTGAATCTTTTCCTGGTCGTCATTAAACAACGTCGTTGCTCATTATTATTTATAGAACGAGAAAAGTAATGTCCTGCTATATATACATATATAAAAATAAATATATTCATCGAAGCAGTTGAAATTCTTTCTGTTCTTGTCACTTTAATTAATTATACTTTCCTCGATTAACATGGAAGTTCAGGTTTCATTTATTGAATATTCAGAATTTAAATATACTGGTATTTCAATATATCTGGTATTATTAAATATTTTATAATCAATAGGCACTTGATATAAATTTAACATTCGTTTGAAACTCGTATTGACATCGTGTATTATATTATATAGATAAGGAATAGCAAAAATATAAGATAGAAAAATATTCGACGCAAAATAATTCTTTTATTAACAACATTGCTTTAGGGAAATAGCAATTTTTTAAATTACATCAAATGAATAATTTATAATAAAAAAAAAAAAGGAAAAGAAATGGAAACAAAAATTCCTATTTCAATTACAATACATATAATTTTTCTTCTTATCAATTCCTTAAAATTCCAAACTTCTGTTAAACATAATCTCATTCTTCGAATTTTCATGGATCACGCGAAATTTAACTGGTTAAATTTCACCGATAGCATAATCTCGATTTTGGTTCCCGATAATAGCAGAAATTTCGCCATGAAATTATATCTGAAGCCAGTTCCCGGCAGTGAAATCAATTTCTGTACCATTAAATCGTACATTCGAGGCTCACCTGATTCCTCCACGAGTAGTATCGTAATTCAACGTTCGGGATCCATGGCGCCACGTAACGTATCCGGTAGGTTGCGGTATATTGCTGACCACACACTTCAATTCTATCGTGCTCCCAGCTTTGTAAAATTTGTCACCAGCCGTTGCCCCGTGCTCGTCCACGATCTCCACCTTCGGCACTGAAACAGACGTCGATTTATTTTTATGAGCGTGCATCGCCATTTTTACTCGTCGAAGCTGTCGCGCGATATCATCGAATGCGCTACTGTCACAAAAATTGAAAATCACTGACGTGTTTCGTGGAAATAAAAAATGAGAAAAATAAATAAATAAATAAATCGGAATACCGTACAAAAAATTTATTATTAAAGAAAATTATTATTTTCCAAATTTTTTTGAATGAAGGTAATATATAATTTACTCTTTTTATTCGATGATACGATTTTATTTAATATACATTTATATTATTTTCAGCAGTTCAATCACAAAATATATCAAAAAAGAGAACGATCTCTTATCTCTTATCTTATATAATTTCTATTTAAATCGATCAAATGATCAAAAAAAAAAAGAAAAAGAAAAAGGAACAATAATTTCTCGAGATATCCCTAGCTTCGAGCACTCAAATATTCCGTCTGGTTCAACGCTGAGAATTTCCTAAAATTTCCTCGACACTCGTAACGAGGTCCTCCGAGAAATAAGGAGAAAAAGCTTGCTCACGTCGCGGTGGCAAGTTTCGCGGAAAAATAAGTTGTTTCTTCAGTCATCGGTTCGTTTCAGATCCAGCCCCGCGTAAGAAACGTGCAGGGAACTGCTAACTGCGAGGAGGAATTGCTGAAATTTCTCACCCGCCATCTGGTTGGAAACAAGCCACGAAAAAATCCTCCCCAACCATCGTAAGCAACCCAGTCCATGGGAACAATAAGTTTCCTCGAAGATGGATGCAAACGACGGAAAGAATGATCTCGTTCCCGTGAACTCTTAAACGATACGATGTTCTTCGAAACAAGGAAAATGTGTTTCAGGGTGTTCATCCATCGAAACGAGTGTCTTGGTTAATTATCCAAATATAGCAGCGTGAAAATATTGGGTACGATTTATTTGAGGTAACAATTGTTCTCTTTTATTAAGAGATTATTAATGGAAGAATTATTGAAAGGAAATTAGCGGGAAACGAAATGAAAATATCTTGATACCATTGAAATTTTAGATAGAGATTTAAAATTTATTTAATTTTAATTATTTAATTAATTATGGTAAAATGGTATTATTTAATTAATTTTATTGAAAGATCGGATTCCTGTACTATTGAGAAAAAGAAATTAGTATCTTCTAGTTGATTTTTGATAGAATTGTTTTCATGATTGTATTGTAGAATTAATAGATGCTTTAAAATAAACACTGTTCGAGTTTGTATACGATGTCATACGAGTATTGTTGCGTGAAAGAGAGTTCAGACTGATAAAAGGACCATCTTGTTGAATATCCTGATAAAAACATACTTCCTTTTTTTCTTTTCACTTCATCTCTCTTTTCACATTTCTATGGTATATAACGATTCTAACGCAATAAAGAGCATCAACAATAATTCACTGCCTTTTGCTATTACACAAAAAACCACTCTACTATCATTAATTTATCATTTAGAAAATGGTAGAAAGGAAAGAGGATATGATGGTTATATTTTCAGGTACAAAATGTTGGAAGAAGTTTGAGAATCGTCAAATGACGATCAACTATAAGAGTAGAAGTTTTGATTAAGTGTGAAATTTGATTTAATTGAAATAAACACGTGAAACGAGAGTTCGATTATAATTGGAATTTCGATTATAAATGGAATTTGAAAATGAATTAAATTAGTGTACGAAGTCTTGGATAAATATATATACTTTTTTGGAAATTTACAGATTATTATTTTTGATGCTTCATTGAACGAACGTTAACTTTATACCGTATGAATTTTGCATGGAAGGTACAATACAATAAAATAACTTTTCCTAGACTTGTCCTGAATCGGTGTAATTTAAATTGGAAAACTCTGTCTTCTTTTCAAACGGTGTCACGCGTTTCGACAGGAGTTCAAAATAAATACGTATGTACCTTCACTTGGGAAGCATATCGACAGTCTTCGACATTTCGCCGTTATATGGAAGTAGATTTAACCCACTTACGTCTAAAAGGACAGAGTACGAATAAAATTCTCACGATTCCGTTTATGCAGCTACCGACTTTTGACAAAATTTTTCGCAAAAAAAAAATTTTCATATCATTCTTTCAAATAAAAAGAAAATCACTTGTTACTTTAATTAATATCATTATTAAAATATTCAATTCAAAAGCTTAAATGGAGAAAATATATTCAAAAAAGAAAGGAATATAATTATTAAATTAATAATTCACTATTGATAATTATTTCAATAGTTTAAATTTGCATAAAAATATCGATTGATTTTATTAAATTATTTCTATTAAATATAAATTAATTTTATAATCAATACATTTTATCAATGTTCTTTCTTGGAAGATGGAATATCATATATTTAGAAATCGTAGTATATAAGGATTGGAAGAATTATCTTATCCTATAAAATGGTCAGATCGCTTCTTAGCAATAAAATATAACCAAATCCTAGTACGTTATCTTCTTTCTCCAATTGCTATGGATCGTACCATGGTCATCAATTTCAAATGGTAGATGATCTAATCTTCTCACCGATCATTTCTCATTTCAATTCTATCTGTTTTATTCATACAATACGACAATCACATTCAGATTTATTGTTCTCAATATCTCTTATTTGAAATATTCAGATATATCTGATAGGATACGCTATAATGGAAATATAAAAGCGAAACTTTGCTTTTGCAGCAAAAAAAATCTTTACTTTTTCAAGCTTTCGAATGCAATTTTAAAAATATATTTGTAATGATACGATAAAGGCATAACCTAACCTCAACTTCAATATTTCTCGTAAAAGTAAGATGAAATGTAAAATGATTAAATTCATATGAAAGAATCGTATTTGCAATTACACTGTTACGATTATTAATTCAATCTCTGATCATAATAAAAAATAATGGGTTAATGAAAAACTCAGGATCAATGTAATCTATTCCTCCTAACCTCGGATCATTCAAAAACTTGGAACAAACTTCAAGATAAAATCAACTCAACTGGGTCATCTTCTCCCGAAATTTACTTCGATTTCGATGAACTTCGTAAGATTGTTGAACGTGAAAGTAAAAATCATTGTCATTTCCTGTGTTTCTAGTGAATTCTAGGGAAGAAGGAAAGTTCCTAGGGACGATTTTTCGTGTCGGTGGACGTATTTCCGACACGCCGACGATAGATAAATACAGGTACTTTGCGGTATTGGATTTCTTCAATAGAGAAGGAATGTCCACAAAGATCTTGGTGGTTGCAGATACCCGAGCTGACCGGTAATCGACTTCGATCAACTTGTTGGTGAACACGCGAATAATATATCGAACGCCATGCCCTCGATAGCTTGAATAAATACAGCCCATTTACTGGGGCATCCAATTCACTGCTAAACTAAGGTTAAACTTTATTTCTCACTTCTGGAACATTGTCCTGGTGTCTATTATTCCTCTAAATAACTAGTTTAGTGAGATTTTGATGATTTTATTCATTTTTCTCTTTATTTTTATCAAAGTAAAAGATTGATTCTTTTGTAAATTTTATGTGAATATAAAGTAAGAATCAAAAATGAATATGTATAATTTATAAAAATTATTTATTTATTTATTTATAAATTGTTTATTCATATTATTTCTATTATTATTATTGTTGTTTAATAATAATAATAATAATAATAATAATGATAATAAACAAATTAAATAAATTCTTTACTTCTAAAAATAAAAACGATAAATTATATTGATTCTTACGAAAATTAAATCTAAAATAACGCAGCTTCAAGCATTCTCCTTCACTTTTAAAATCAACAAATTACACGCAACTCCCCCCTCCATACATTTACATTCAAATATCATCTCCGATTCTCGATTTTAGATATAACAAAACGCAAGTTTTATCTCGTCGCGAGCAAAACGAGTCCCTTTCCAAGAGAGGGATGAGGGATTTAACCTCTCAAAAGGAACAATCACGATAAAAACGTCGATTTAATCCGTATTTAAAAGTCATCGAGCGACGTGGCCACCTTAACCAGCGACATCGTTTGGCAGAACGTGACTCGTTTAAACCATCGATGCACGCTGGTATAAATGAAACGGCCCATTTGAGTACGAAGTTATGCCATGCCTCGACGAAGTCTGGTGGAAGCAACAGTCTGGAATTAATTTCGCGGAGGTGGAGTAAGTCAAAGAACTCCGAGTCTATATCGAGATCGAGATTAAAGATGTTCATCTCGACGAAATGTACACTCGACTCTTTTATTCCGATAAAAGGACGATGTTCATTTGAAAAGTTTTTTTTTTTTTTTTTTTTTTTTGTATGAAAATTATTCTGTGTTGAGAATTTATTATTTTTCACTTTTTCTATTTTATTGTTTATGTAACTTTTTAATAATTCCAGTTTAAATTTTTCTCTCTGGACGCCTTAATTTCATTAGGTATTCCACCACTGTTCAGCGTGCTATATCTTTCTCGTTTATTCTCATTATATCTATTCTTCTTTTTTTGTCGAAGAGCTCGAGATTTGAATTTCAATTTATGAAAATCGTTCCACGAGAATTTCAAATCTTCGATTTAAACAAGCGTTATCATTTTTGTTTTCTTCTTCTTTTATAAAGAAATAGTTACAGAAAAAAGTTCAAGTAATTCTATTGATATTAATAAGACATTATTTTATTTTAGCTTGCATAAAATTTTACAAATACACACTCTAATACAATAAAGTGAAATATAGTTGGTTAATTTAACAAAAAATAACTTTGAAATGGATAATTCCGAATGATTGAAAATTGTTAACATAATTATTGAAAGAACTTTCGTTTCGTAAGAAAATTTTTGAATATCGAAAAGATCATTTAAATGGGGAAAAATTTTGATAAATGGGAATTTTTCCATGTAACGTTTATAAGCTAACGTTTAACGACGTGTCACGCTCGGCACACTGTTCTAGAATGCGAAACCAGGAACGAAAGAAACGTAATTGTCGGTCGGGTAACCTTCATTTGAGTGCAAATGGAGCTTT